AATAAATCATTATTGATCTTATAATTCCATTGATTAATCAATGGAGTTATTACTTCATCATAATCATCTTCATCACTTCCTTCATCACTCAAATTTTGTATATCAAATTCATTAGAAGTATAAAAAATGCTTGTTTGATTTCATTTTGTGTTATATAATTGATCTTTTTTATTTATTGTTTAATTGAGAAAAGATTAATTGAAGTTTTTTGGAAGTAAAAAATTAAACCATATTTATAATCTCAATTTTTATTTTTACATTCATTTTATTAATTGTCTTTAATAAAGCTAAACATTTTTGTCAAACTAAATAATCTGATGACTTTTAAAATAATCATGTATTTTTCCTTTAGATTTGAACTTTTCACATTCTTTATTTTTGTCAATTAATGGTGTTCATTTACCTGACAAGTGTTCTTTTAAAAAAAATGATATTTACTTTTGATTTCATTTCCATTTTTCCGCATACAGATAGAATTTAGTATGGTATTTAAAAAAATGAAAATGATTTTAAAAAATGTGGTACGATTTTAAATATCATTGGTTAATATTAATAATAAATATATTATTAATATCATGTCATTGTTAATATTAATATATTATATTAATATAATGTCTGTTAATATTAATAGCAAATTTTTGAAAAAATTCTTTTAAAAAAAATACGGCAGGTCATCAAAACATTTAGTGGATCAGATATTCTCATGGGGAAAAAAATTAGTGGATGATCTGCAAGATATTTTAGTGGAAAACTACCATCTAATTCAGACATTTTCTGAAAGGCAAATCCTTTATCCATGGAATAACAATGGATATAAAGCTTCTGCCTTTCAGGGTGTGTGGCATGGATATTTCTGATGTTGATCTCTGGGATTTTGTCCAGATAACTCACTCTATGATCAACAAACTCATGGGTAGGATAATTATAATATATCCCTCTACAGGCAAAACCTTTATCTATGATGACAAATGGATAAAGGTTTTGCCTGTTCGGAAAATGTCCAAATTACCTGAAAACTACACAATTATACAAAATAGTTTATTTTATGAAAAACTACATCATTGTACAAAAGGATGTTAGGTTGTTTCGCATCCAACTATTTTTAGGAGGTCTTTAGACCAAGCCAGCTATATTTGGATAGAATTCTGCCCTTGATGATCTTCAAAAAACACATGGCTAAATTTTTTTATTGCATTTTTGATTGGAATATTTTTTCTCAAAATTGGTATCATGGCACAAAAAGTTCAGTGGCTAAGTGATTTGCACCATAGCAAAAAGTTATCAAGAAGATAAACACTTTGCTCCAATTTGGGACATATTACATAATCCTAATGCAACTGCCAAACAAAAAGCACAAGTAAAGAATTATGAATTGGTTGGAAACAAAATATATCTTCATGAAGGAAAACGTCTTGTAGTACCATGACAAAAAGATATAATTACTAAGATATTACAAGAAGCACATGACAATCCTACTTCTGGTCACCTTGGACATGATAAAACATATGAAAGAATTACTTGAACATATTATTGGCTTTGTATGAGTAAAGATGTAAAGAAATATGTCACTACATGTGAATCATGTCAATGAAATAAAGCCACAAATCAACAACCTGTAGGTCTCTTGCAAACATTGCCAACTCCAAATAACTGATGGGAACAGATTACAATGGATTTTATCACCCAACTACCTTGTACTTCCAAAGGATATGATGCTATTGTAGTATTTGTGGATCGTCTTTCAAAAAGAGCACATTTTATTCCTTTAACTACAGATGCAACTGCTCCTAATGTAGCAAAAATTTTCTTTGATCACATTTTTAAACATCATGGATTACCCAAGGTAATTATATCTGACTGAGATCCAAAATTTACTAGTCGATTTTGGCAGGCACTTTTCAAATTGTTAGGAACAAAATTATCAATGTCTACAACCTACCACCCTCAAACAGATGGACAAACTGAAAGAATGAATCACACTCTGGAGGAAATGTTAGGAGCTTACACAACTTATCATCAAGACAAATAGGATGAACATCTTTCTGCATCTGAATTCACTTATAATAATTCCAAACAAGCTTCAACCGAAATGACACCTTTTGAATTAGACAATGGACAATACCCAATGACACCATTGGAACTTATAGATAGTAACACCACTAAAGTTGAAGCAGCTGAAAATTTGTATATAATCTGGAAAAACAATTTACAAACACTGTCAAAATGAAAACTATAATGTTGGTGACCAAGTTCTTTTGTCTACTGCAAATATTAATGATGATATTGCGAGTGTGCAATCTGAGTTTCCTAATTAATAGGTTATTTATAGTTCAACACACAGCCTACCCGTTGACTTACAGTTGATTCTATAGTTTGACACACAGCCTACCCACTGACTTACAGTCAAGGTTTCCTTTATTTATAAGTATGACACACAGCCTACCTGCTGACTTATGGTCAAAGTTTAATAAAATATAACTTTTATCCAAAGGATAAAAGGGTCCCTAGGTTCTATATGTAACTATATCCCAAAGGCGTTCCCTTGAGATGTTTCTCAATAATTAGAATGTTGGTTATTTGCTAGGTATGGCAAAGGTTCCCCCTTTGTGGTTTATTAATTAATTTAGAGATTATTATTTTAGGGTAAAAATATGTTATGTGTTTTATTAGCGATAATAAATAATATTATTATTACAGTGTAAGGAAGTATTAATTATTAGATTAATAATTAAAAGGTTGTTATGAACATGATGATTCTGACTGGGTCTGAAACCAAGTCTTTTTATACCTCTTGGGTATTACAAATAACATGACTTTTACTCTAGTTTGTCCAATAAACTATGCTTATTACACAGTGAAACTCGATTTAGCAGATAATTTCGGCCACTTAGTAAAAATTTTTCAAAAATCTGTTAAATCAAGATTTAATTAGTACATCTGTTATATCGAGAAATTTACTATATAAAAATGCAGCCCAGTTCTGAGCCTCAATCCGTTAAATCGAGATTTTTATTAG